ATTTCAGCGATGCTTCGAGGTGACCGAAGGATAAACCTCACCCTCCAAGTTTTGGAAAAATCGTTTCCACACCATGAACTGCCCCAAGATCATCGATAAAGCCTGGGATGGGGCCACCAAGAGAACCTTCAATTCTGCTTGGAGAAAACTGTGGTCCGGTTGCGTTCTTGGACGTGACTTAGAGGGGCTTGTTCATGAACAGCAGCCACCAGTTGTCGATGAAACTGTGTCCTTGGGGAAGACCAGGGGACTGGAGGTGAACAAGGACGACATTCAGGAGCTGGTGGAGGAGCATGGCCAGGAGCCGACCACCGACGAACTGATGGGTCTGCATTACGAGCAAGAGCTAGAGGTTATGGGGGAGATCTCGTCTGCAGAGGAGGAGAAAAAGGCCGAGGAATCCCTCGCTTCAAACGAGATTAGGGAGATGTGTAAAATGTGGGAAACAGTGAAACATTCTGTAGAAAAGCACCACGCGAACAAGGCTGCAGCAGTCCGAGCGATGAATCGGTTTAACGACAATTCAATGTCACATTTCCGCCAAATCCTCAAAAGGAGGCAAAAGCAGGTGTCATTGGATAAAGTTGAATGAAGAGCAAAGGATTCCATTGAGCCAATAGATGGCAGTGATTCCGTTGGCGATGGTGAAAGTCGTCCTACACAATAACACTCCTCTCTCTTGCCTCCCTCACACCAGCCACGAAGGTTTTCAAAAGAAAGTAGGTTAATTTGTTTATTTTTCTTTATATTCCGTATTTTCTTTATTATTTTGTATTATATTACAGTATTATAATCATTTTTATAGGAATATTTTTGGGTGGAACGAATCATCTGAGTTTCCATGATTTCTTAGGGGGAAATTCGCTTTGATATACAAGTGCTTTGCTTTACGAGCGTGTTTCCGGAAGGAAATCTGCACGCAAACCAAGGTTTGACAAAACAAGAAATGTATGGCGGATGCTCTGGACAGGTCAGGAGGCCCTCCTACCACCGTGAACGGTAGGAGAGAAGGAAAAGTTTGTCGGTGGGAGCATCCTGCCGGGCTGTGCTGGCCTCGGAGCTCCCAAGCTGGCCACCCGCGGGGAAGGACCGCAGCTCGCAGGATGGCGTGTGGGGCAGGGCCCAGTCTACCCACTTCGGTTTCCCCTCCGTGCAGCCGGTGTGTGCGGGGAGCGTCCTCAGAGCCCCTGGCTGGACCCAGGCCCTGGGCGGGGCCGCACGGAGCCTCATGCCCCCCTCGCCGGTCGCCCTGAGGGCGGAACGTGGGGTAGGTGTCCGGTGCCTGTTCCTCTCGCCAAGCACAGCGCGGCCGGACAGCGATGCCCTCCGGAAAGGAGGTCCCAGACTCAGATGAAGGCTCAGGCAGGCAGCCCCCTGTCCCGGGCCACCCCACCTCGGCTGTGCCTGGGCGTCTCCCACCTGGGGGCCCCACCCCCGCCCCAAGAGCAGGAGCACAGGCTGTCTCCCGAAGGACCAAGGACGCGTCCGCCTCTCGTGGTCGCGTGTCCGCCCCGCCCCCTACCGGGAAGCCCCCCTCCCACTACCTGCCCGCCAGGTGTGAGGTCGTGGCCCGGAGGCCGGGCTGTGGCCACCCCCCGGATGTGTGACCCTCCTCAGAGGCTGCTCTGCTGGGCTGCCCCGCGGCAGCACCACAGCCCCGTGCGGCTGAGTGCTTCCGGCCGGGGGGTGTGCGGGGTGGCCGGGTCCCCCAGGTCTGTCCGCAGAGGGCCCGTCTGCTGCGACTTGCCAGCATTGCTAGGCTTGGACCCGCTTCCCTTCCGTGCGAGGCCCTCTTGCCTCGGTGGCGGTGCTCAGACGCTCTCGGCGCGCTGCTGCTCCTGGAGCCTGGACCATCAATCGGACCCCGCAACTGGGGCTCGGTGGGACACCCACGGCCCGCCTCGGCCCCTGCCCAGGTGCTCCTGAGACCCGGGCCGCTCCAGTTCCGCCGGCGCACTGCAGGTGGCCTTTCAAGTGCCCCCAGGGAGGGTTCTCTAAAGAGGAGCAAAGCCCTAGAGAAGACCATCGGGCCTGGGGACGGAAGCCTCTTACTGGGCTGTGTGGGAGGGCAGCCTCAGGTTGCTGCCCGGATCTGGGAAGTGGGGCGTGCAGTGTCCCTTCTGTTCTGATATTCATTTTACCGCCGGGCTTGGGTGCCAGATACTCTCTGCAGTTAACGCCCCAGCCTCAGCCGGACCTCCTGTCCCTTCTCATGAAGCCGCCTGTCAACGGTGGCCGGGACAGAGGGCGTCAGAAGGCGTGTGCCTTCCTCTGCCTTCCACCACGAGGGCGGTTGACTGCGTTCCCACCGAGGAGAGGCAGATTTCCCCAGAGATGGGGAGAGCTTCCTGGCTGGATCACGTACCCTCTCTCCCTGCATGAGGGGCCGCATCTGCCACGCGCAGCTCAGGGCCTGCGAGGGCCCGGAGGCCTGCCAAGGGCCCTGGATGAGCAGCTCAGGGGCTGCGGGCCCCTCTCCGGGCAGAGACTCTTCCCCTGGAGCAGACGTGTTCACAGGAGGCCCGACCGAAGGCCCGTTTCTCTGGCTTCTCACGTGGGGCATTGCTTCCCCTGGAGCCTCCCTGCAGCCCCTGGCCGACTGCTTGCCAGCCACACCTACCCCCCCCAATGCGGCCCCCACTACCTCCTGGCAGCGGCGTCCTCAAGGTCCCTGAGGCAGATACAGACCCTCTTGGTAAAACCGCTCTGCCCTGTTCTTCGTTGGGCCAGCACAGCGGGGAGGGGCCAGGGCCCAGCCATGCGGCGCTGGCTCCGGAGCGGCCAGGGTCAAACACAGGGCGGGCTCCCCTCAGCCCCCTAGCGCACCAGCGGCGAGACCACGGGGCGGACGCCTGTGCTCAGTCCCCGCCGCTGCTCCCTACCCAGATCTGGGGCCCCTCAAAACCTCAGTGATCCCATCTTTCCTTTACACATCACATTTATTGACTTGCCCCAACTCCTGGCCCCACGCTGAACCGGCCACGTGGCCGGTCGGGCTCTCGCCTCCCCGGGGCTGGCCGCCAGCTGGGCAGGAGCCCCGCCCCGCCCGGAGGGCTGCCCAGGCGCCCCGGCGGGAGAGCCAGGCTCGGCCCTAAGCGCTGTCCTGGCTCAGATGCGGCAGCAGCACCAGGCAGGCGTAGAGGGCGCTCGTGCGGCCCTGCGCGTCCGGCTGCCAGTGCACCTGGGGGACGTCCACCCGCAGCTCCAGGCCGCACTCCTCCAGCAGGACCCAGGCAGGTGCCTTTGAGTCCCAGCTGCTCCCCAGGAGCTCCTGCGGCAGGGACACAGCCCTGTGCTCCTTCCAGGGGGAGCTCTGCTCCAGGACGCTCTGCACCTGCAGGACAGTGTGGGAGGTCGTCGCTGCCCACTCCACTCCCAGCATCCGGCACGTG